ACACAGTGTCAGAAAAGAATGTGTTTTCTGTCTCCGTCAAGCCTTCAGAGCTGCTGTCTGGCCTCTGTCGTTGGAGGGGGTTGAGAGAGGGTATGACACCGGCCTCGGCCTCGAGTGAGTCACTGAGGGCAAAGGTCCCCTGAGCCTTAGTCATGCCATCCAGCCTGGAGTCAGTGCTGTTCAGAGAAGCCCACCCAGGCCCCAGGAAGCCACACCCCAGGGAAAGAAACAGGTGCAGGAGGAGCTGCTGGGAAGGTACCTCGAATTCCCTCACCACGCTCTTTCATGAAAAAGTACTTAATGAGCAAAAATGTTTCAAAATGTATTTTAAGCACATACATAATTTTATTTATTAAACAAAGCCCAAACGATATAGCCTTTGGGAACCTGGGAGTAATAAAGTGAGTCACGGCTGGCCTTGGTGACTCAGTGGGAAAAAGGGAATTCCACCGCCTACGCCTCCTCTTGAAAAAAAAAAAAAAAATCAATTTGCTTTCCCGACAGGTGATGGGAGCCTCTGCCATCAGACCGCGCCAAGAAAACCATCCAACAAAACAAGAAACCGGCTTCAAAAAATTTTTAGTTGTAGAGCTGAGTAATTTGATGTGGGCCTGTGTCCAGCCTACGCCCCCGCGGGACACAGAGAGCCCGGGAGTGGCTTGGCCAGGGCTAGGGGCCTGAATTAAGAAGGACTTACCAGCTGAAGAATTCCAAAACCCTGTGTCACATGGAGGAACCTTCCAAAACACTGGATCACGCCAGCCTCGGGAGTCGGTGGGAGCCATGGTAACCCTGTCTCCTCAACCACAGCGCTTGTGTTTTTGTGTCCTTAGATTTTTTCCTGTTTTGCAATGTTTTGCTGGGACCCCCGACTCTGCCCGAGGCCAGGGGATAGGGGCCAGGGTTCCCATCGAGGGCAGGAACAGCCTGGCCTCCCCGCCTGACCTTCCCTGGAAGGCTATACATCTTTTATTTTGCACAACACAGAGGAGCAGAACGATCCCTGGTCCTTCTCTTGACTTCTCTTTGACGTGACAGGAGGAATCACTCCAGAGTTCAGGCAAATGGCACTCTAGGGATCCAGCCCTTTCCCCAGTTGGAGGCTGACCTAGGTGTCCCCGGTTTGGTACCTTTGAACCTCAGTCAGCTTGTCTGTGAATGGGGATAGGGCAGCCACTTCTCAAGGCTGGAGGGACAACGGGGGGGGATGCTACTCTCCTTCGGCATAACGCATGCATGGTTACTATGCACAGAGACAGTTCTGGAAGTTGCGAGAACAGGGTGAACAGTGAGTCCCTGCTCCCAAGGAGCCAAAGCTCTACTGTGGGGACCAGCAGACCCAAGAGAGAGCAGATAGACGGATGCAGCGCTGAGTGCCACCCGGAAAATGGAGCATGTCGATGGGACAGGAGGAGATGACACAGTATGTGAAGGAACGGGGGCGGCGGGAAGAATGTTACAAAGCCAACGGCACATGCCGAGGTCCTGGGGCAGGAAGGAGCACTCGGTAGCTGAAGACAGAACGAAGAGGGTTTTTCTGCAGCCAGGAAAGCCGAGGGGAGAGGCGCTCAGCTGAGATCAGAGAGACGGGCAGAAGCAGAGTCTCACGGGTCCCTGCAGGTCCTACAAAGAATTAAAAATAGGACCAAAACTCATAATAAGCCTTATTATGACTGCTGCTATAAATAGAACCGCACTTTCCAAAACACGGGGCTCTCCTAACTCAAGCACCCTGCGGGCCCCTCTCCTTGCAGTTTTTCCACCTCCTCAGCTGGTCCTCCCGATGGAGTGGAAAGTGCCAGGCCCGTTTTAGCGGACAGCTATAAAAAGCATGCTGAGGCTCCCGGTGCCGATGACCAAACTCTGGGGCTAAGATTAGCCCGAAGCTGTCACCTTTCCTAATGGGAACAGCAGCTGGGATTCCCCTGCCTTGGAAAACTTCGGCCGCCCCACCCTGCATGCAGCGCCTCCTGGCCAAGTGTCCATGGAGATGGACACAGGACCAGTTTTGGAAAAAGCAACTTCAGCTACATGGATTCCCCCTGCAGGAGGTGAACCCTCGAGGTCAAAAGAGCAGACTCCGTGCCTTACAAACATCCTGGTTCCCCCTGACAGGGCTGAGAGGAGCCACACAGCCCTCTCAGGGAAGCCCACTTCTTGGGCGAATGTTCAGGATGCCTCAAAAGGCCCTGCTGGTCCCTGACATCCTGGAGTTGATATGAAAGCCTCTTCCCAGTGAAACAGACATCATACCAACAACTCGGCAGAACTCAGTTCTCCACCACTACAACCTGGTTCAAGCCTGTGCTTCGGGGAAGATGGAGCATCTTAGAGCAAATCAAATCTGAGCTTTCCTAGGCCCTGGAGCCAGGCTGCCTGGACTTAAGTCTTAGCCCTACCATGTGCCAGCTGTGTGATCTTCCTTAAGCTGCCTAACCTCTCTGTGCTTAGAGTCTGAGCTCTAGAATTTGAGGGGAAAGTAGCTCATTTGGAGGGCTACCAGATTAGATAACCTAGGCAAATGCTTAGAACAGAGCGTGGCTCGGGGCTAGTGACTATTGCTTTTGAATGTCTCCTGGCTTTCTGGGTGAACTCCATCTTTGTTCTTCCCTTGCAAAGTGTACTGATGACTAGAGGAAAGAATGGGTTTACTCAACTTCCATCTTTCCACGGAGGTCACAGAGGCAGGAGCTTGAGGCGCCTGGTTGCCCAGCTCACGTTTGGCGAGCATTCTCAGTGGGCTCAGCCCTGCGTGTATAACTCAGCCTGTGGGTGCCCCTCCTATCTTCTCAACTCCCAGAAGGGTGAATCGCTTCTATCTGACCAAAAGAAGTCCTTTCTCAGAGAGGTCCAGTAATCTACCCAGGGTGGGACAGCAACCAAGCTCTGATGGCTTTCACGTCTGCTGCTGTGATAAAATATTCTGAGAAGCAACACAGTAAAGACACACAGGTTTATTCAGCTTCCAACTACTGGTCAGAGTCCATCATTTCATGAAGGTCACAGCTTGAGACAGCTGATCACCCGACAGAGAGAAATGAGTACACCCTTGCCACCTGTTAGCTTCTTTGGCACAAGTAGCTTTTTCTCCACTCCTGTGCCTAGGGAATAGTGCTGCCCGTAGTGGGCTGTATCTTCCCACATCTAGACAATTCTCCACAGACATGTCAGTCAACCTGACCTAGACAATTCCTCGTTAAAACTCCCTTCCCAGGTGATTCCAGGTTGTGACAAGCCGATACAAATCTATTCATCGTGTAGTCTGACCTCGAAGCCTGGGCTTAGGAACACGTAGCTGTCAACCCCACTCCCACCTCCTAAGCTTGTTCAGCCTAAACCCACACACAGACAACATGTGCCTCACACAAGGAATGTGTCCAAGGCTCTGAGGAGACCCGAGGACCACAAAGGCAACCACAAATGTTCAATAGCCACAAGCTACCATCTCAGGGCACGTGACTCCCCCACAACCCCAACTCCAGGGGCAGAGAGAGAGAGGCCAAACCACAGGCCAAGGCCACCTGCTGTCTGCAGTATGTAGACGAGCCTTGACTATCAGCTTGAGGATGCTCAGTTGGATGGGAAATTTGCCACTGTGATTATTCCCACTCGCTCACTTAACTTTTCAAGGCTGGAGGCTTCTCATGATGAGGTCAAGGAAGGTATGGATGGCACAGCAGCGAATGCCAATCAGTCAGTGCCCACTCACTCATGCAGCCAGCGGTTCAGAGCTACTGACCTCTGCACTGGCAGCCAGCTGGCAAGGCCCAGCAGGAGGGACCCTCCCATTTTCTTAGATGTTCCTTCCTGTCAACCCCAAGGCCCTGTCACCTTGGACACGAGTAACAAACGTTCGTATCTTATTAGCTTGGTGCTTAAAGTCATGTTTGTCCTGTCAATATTAACAGCAGGCCTGAGGATAGTGCCCTGATACTGGACAAGGCACGTTCCCTGGGCATTTACAGTGCGTGTCAATCGCATGCTTGAACATCCGCTAAGGCAGCCTGTTACCTTACCACGCCCTGCCGGTTAACATTTTCAACCTGACAAGACTTAGAGCCCATCAAGAGACATGTCTCTTGGCATGTCTGTGAGGGGTGATCTAGACAGGGTTTAATGAGGTCAGAAGACTCAGCCTAACTGCCCAACCAAATTAGAAGAAAGGAGCTGAACACTAGCTCCAGACTGGAGGACATGACCATGAGCCCCTTCCACCTGGAGACAGGCTCTGTTGTCAGTTTTACTTTCAGTTCCCACCCCAGTGTGTCTCCTGTCCCCACTGCCACTGGGGTGCAAGTGCCTCAGACCCCCAAACTGCTTCACCATCAGATCTCAGGCTTCTCACAGAATTTGCTCTGCTGTCCCCCTGCTGTTCTGACGGTAGCGGGCCTTCCCATACCTGCTTGCTGCTCTCCCTGTCCCCACTGGAGGCCATCCTGTGGGTCAGCTATTTCACAAGCATCTAATAGAGATCTCAGCGCTACCCTCAGCTAACCAGGCTCTGCTGCTCTGGCTCAGACCCCATGGCTCTCCGCTCCTAGACACATTGCCTTTGACAGATGAGGCCCCTGGCTCATCCAAGGAGATCCAGAGTTCATCAGACCCAACGCACACATTTCCAAAAGGGGACCCACATCCCAGCTCAGCCCCTTTCCACACTGGTTCCCCTATGCAACGAAACTCAGTGACAAAGTACCTACCTCACAATGACACTCCAGCGCCTGCCCTGGAGCTGCAAAGCACTGTTTCTCCTCTTAATAACCAGAAAAGGTATTTTTTTTTTAAAGGAAAAATGTTTGCCTATGTGATGAAAAAAATATCAAAGCAAGATTGATGAAAGGGGACACGTTTAGACTCCGTGGAAACATTCAAGCGTGTCACCCCCATCAACGGTGACCTGCATGGCTGTGGGTCACCGCAGGATGAGCCAGAAGAGTGAGAAGTCACCCAATAGGCTGGAGTGTCTCAGAGAACTGAGAGAAAGTGAGACAGCCACTGACCTGTGGTCTTCTCCATGAACACGACCTTGGACTCGGCGGTGAAGTTCTGGCCCGTGAGAATCATCTGCTGGCCCCCATACACCAGGCAGCTGTCCACATCTTGTCTCTCCACCATGGGCAGCTCGTGGGCAGAGCGCTGAGCTGAAGGCAAGAGGAAAAGACACACCATGACCCAGAGAAATCCCTCCGGGGTCGCAGCAGAGAGGTGGGAATGGAGACCCAAGGGGAATCTCCAAACATCACATCCTCAGAAGAGCCGCAAGCCGCTCAAGAATCCAGGGTAGACGCCTGTCTTTCCTGCAAAAGAGGCAGGAACCAGACAGACTGGGTCTTCATTCTCCTTTATGCAGGGACAGGCCAAGTTGAGCCCTCATCAAAGTTCCCAGTGTTATGTTGTTTCTTCCCTACACTCTTCAACCCAGACTCAAGGTCCCGTTCAAGCTTACAGCATATCCAAGTGAAGTTTGTGGGTGATTCTGATCATAAGCCATATGCTCCAGGATCTGACCCCCTGGCTTCACTTTCCAGAGCCTCCCCCCCCTTTCCATCAATGTGTTCCCACCAATTTCTAGAACTTCTAGAACATTCCATTTTTTTCACTCCCCCTGTCTTTCATAGATAGATAGATAGATAGATAGATGAAAGATAGATAGATAATAGATAGTGTGTGCATACATGTGAATATTTTTCTGAGGGTGGAACACAGGTCCTCGGCCTGCTAGGTAAACACTGTGCCCCTAAAGCACCAGACTTTGCTATGTTTTCTGCAAGCTCTCACCTCTGAGTGTCTGTGCTCTCCTGGGCTCTTGCCCTCACCCTATGTGAGTGGTCCTTCCTTCATCTCCTCAGGTCCTACTCAGCCTCCCTCGGGAGGTTCCCTGGGCCTCACTTCCACTTCCTTACCCCCAGCCCCTTTCTCTCCTACTTCCTCCTGCTTAGCCCTTCTCTGGAGAAAGGCACACTTTTCAGCCAGCCTGTGAGAGCTGTCCTCAGCCCTGGGAGAGCGGTCCAAGAGATGGCTGAGTACAAAGAGACAGGTCCCTCCTATCCCTGTTCATCTTTACCCACGATGAGTGAAAGCTGGGCAGGACAGGCCCGCACAGTACACTCAGGTGTCCACAGCAGCCTCCGAGGAAGTGAGACAGCAGAGATTCACTTTCAGCTGTAGGCAGGTTCTGCCTGCTTGAGACAGAAACCCTCCGAGGCAGGCTCAGCACCAGAGCTGCCCCTCGGCCCCTCAGGCTGTGGGAGATGATGAATAGAGGCAGGTGGGTCACCAGCTAGGTGACAGAGAACCTCTGGCTGCAGCCAGGTCCCTCCCACTCCCGTAGGCCCCTCCCTCCCTCTCAGCGCTGCCTTCTTGGTGAGTCAGCTTGAGCTCCTGGCTCTTCTCCGAGAGCTGAGGACTAGGCAGTGGGCCAGGTCTTTCCATGCCAGGGCCCCTGGACCGCCCCATCCGGGAGCCAGGAGCCAGCCAGGAGCCTGAGCAGTGCCTGTGAGGCCCAAACTTAACCCTTTCCTTTCATGTCAGGCACATATCACCCTCTTCCTCTGTCCCCAGGACTGAGGGGGGTCACACTGAGCAGCAGGTGCACTTAGCCCCCCCCCCCCCCCCGGCTTCCACTCACTTCCTAGTGACTCACTACCCAGCCTTACTGTCCTGATGCTGGCTCTCTCTGCTCAGAGCAATACCACCTCTCACCACCTGTGGGCTCCAGGAGGTGTTGAGGGGCCGGGGATAAAACTGCTAATTCCTCCCACATGGGCATGTTATTAAGCCCGTCTTGCAGTGTGGGAGCCCCTTGACTTTCTAATTGAACTACTGCTAAGGCAGGTTTACTAGCAGCGAAAACAGCAGCTACAGAGGCAGCTTTCAGACTTGCCTTTGATGGAAGGGGATGGTGGGGCTAGGGGCTGCTGGCCCTGGAGATGCCAGCAAGAGCCACCCCTCCCATTTTACAGGTGGAAAACCTGAATCATCGCTACTGGGGAGGCCAGCCAAGGGCCTGCAGCCAGCCAGGCCGGGACCAGGCCGGGTGAGCTCCCTGAGGGGTGGGAGCCTGCCATGCATGAATCACCATGCACTGTGCAAATACTCGGGTCTGGGGCAGCCGCCTCTCCACACAGCTCCTGGCTTCTGCAGGCGGCAGCAGCCACCTAGGCACAAACTGCAATGCTACCTTCTTCCCCTGAGGGGACAGTGTCTTTAGCACAAGTGTGAAGAGAGCAAGTCTACTTCCCAGAGGCCTCAGAGTCACACCCGAGATGTGGCCAGGCCTTTTGAATGGGCTCTCAGGGAAAAGCAGGCATCTGGCTTGTCCCCAGCCGCAGCCGAACACCTCAGTGGCCTTCTAAAATGTAGACTGCCACTTAGGGGAGGACCCTTCTTTACTGTGGGTCTCCCACCTAGGGGCTGGACCCTTCTTTACTGTGGGGTCATGCTGTGTAGTAATTGAATTTTCAATAGCTCCCTGAATCCCTGGTCACTTCCTGCTGGCTGCCAGTAGTGCCATGCCTACCAGCTGTGATACCCAAAACTGCATGCAGACACGGCTGGTGTCCCCTGGAGGAGGAGGGACACAAAGTCACTCCTAGCTGAGAGTAACAGTTGTAGAGACTCTGGCTTAAAAAAGAGTCTGAAGGCAGGACCACAGCTGCCATTATTTAGAAAACAACCCTAATGGTCCCGGATAGCCACAGTCAGCATAATGCGTGGCATCATTGCTGTGGGGGGATAGGGGATCCTGCATCTGCAACCCCGAGGCCTAACGACCCTGGACATGTCACTTCACCATGCCAAGTCTCCTCCGTGGCATCAGAACAGCGCCTGCTTCACAGGTAAGCTTCGTACAGATCATATGCACGCAGTAGACACGGTTAGAACATAGCTGGCAAACTGTCTCATCTCAACCAGACTGTCCAGGGTGCATGCACGAGTGACAGAAGGTGGCATGCCCGTTCAGAATATTATCCAGCCCAGAAAAAGGAGCAAAGCGCTGACATATCCACTGTCGTGTTGTTCTGTGTAAAAGGAATCAGGTACAAAAGGACAGATTTAGTGTCAACAGGAACAGGTAGCCTGTGGCGGTATGTGACAATCCTTCAGTGAGCCTCAGTATGCACTACTGTCCACATTTGGGAGTCCCTGTAGTGGGGACAACATTTGTTCAATGCATGCTCAGCATGCAAGAATGTTCAGTGCTGAGCTCGGCAAGGGCTCGGGGCACAGCCTCCTACGACACCAGTGCGGCCTGGTCCATCAATGGTCTCTGATGGAGAGACCACCACCGTGCCCGGTGAATTCTCAGTGGCTCCTGAGCCTTAAGGCAAGTTTGCTGACTCTGAAAGGGGCCTCCCAGAATCTGCAGCGGCATCGGGCTGAGGCGGTGCTTAATAGGAAGCCAGAGAAGCCCAGCCACTCCCCCGGGGCCCCTGTATCTGCATACTTCAGGCAGAGGCCAGAAGTGTGCACTCTGCCCAGCTTCCCACATGGCTTATCACACACGTCTCAGGGCCACGTGGCAGAGGCCACCTGAGGACAGGGGAACTCCTCCCAGGCAGTACCCCAGTCCTTGGGGAACCCCTCGGCAAAGCAAAGCAGTCCAATTAGCCTCCAAAAGAGGAACTGAGGGGAGGTGAGTAGCAGCCGGAACAACCCTCCCGGGGCCTGCAGTTCTGCCTGATGCAACAACCCACCAGCTACTACCGCTAATTGGAGCAGCATGCAGGACCTCAGAGGGCTTTCAGGAAGTCCCTGGGTCTCCTGGACTCTCTCCCACTGCTGCCATCAGCCTCCGAAGCTCCCATCCCGCTATTTAGAGACCCCAGGCCATCCAAACCTTCCTGCCTACAGAACTCTAAGCGAACTCTGCCTGGGTTCAAATCCATCCTTGTGAACCGGCTTCCAGCTTGGGGACAAAGCAGACCCAGGCTCCTGCCTAAGCTTCCAGGTGGCCCCAAGCCTCTTGGTACTGCTCCCTCCCAGTTCCTGGCACCTCATAAATTGTCTCAGGGTCCCATATTTTTACAAGCTCTGAATCCACCGGGCACAGTGGCTCACTTTTCCCAGTGCCAGTGCTGACCTGCAGCCAAGCCGTGAGCACCTCAGAGCTCTTGAGGGAAAACTCACCGGGCCTTTCCCACGCCTGCAGGGGTGAGTGGCCAAGACCACATACTCTGCCTGGGAGGCTTGCTCTGGAGGGACACAGAAAGGCTGGCTGGGGAGGTGTCTCTGCAGAGTCAGGGTTCTGCCACTGTGGGACAATCAGTACCACAGAGGGGACCTCGGGTCCTGACACGTTATAATTTTCTTTAATACTGTATGATGTGCATAGCACAACATGCTGAGGGCCCTTGGTCAGGATGAGGACGCTGCCATGTGCCTACAGAGTTCCAAATCTAGCTTGTTGACATCTGGCACTGGTGCCTCAGCACATCTCTCCATCTCTCCTGTCCTTTCCTTAAGCGTTTACTGCCTTTACTTTTTTTGCTAAATGTCATGAGCCCAAAGAGCGGGCAGTGCGCCTATTCCAGCATGGAGGAGGCTGCCTCACAGGACATGCTTGAAAGCTTGTGGGTAAGAGGGGCAGATGAAAAGGATTCGGACCCGGCTGGGGACTTAGCCACCTGGGCAAGGGCCATGTGGGGTGCTGTCACCCAGCACAGGCCAGGGGCGCTTTCTGCCTCCCCAGCGATGGTCAACTGGGCCAAACTGGCCTTCCCTGACTATGGGACCCTGGGGCCCTGTCTTGGAATGGCAGACTGGCATAGTAGACCCAGCCCGGGCCATACGGAACTGCTGTGTCTAGCCACAGTCTCACCGTAACCACTCACTACGTCTTCCCTGGAGGTTCTCCTATAGTGGGGACCGTCAGTGTGCCCGCCAGGAGCAGGTGCTACCACACGACCTTGGAGCCCTCCCTCAGCCTCCTCACACAGAGAGGAGGAGGACTTACTAAGCCTGCAGAGAGGGTCCTCCTCCTATCATCCCATCCACATGGCACCTGTCCTTTTTCTTTCCTGGCCTGACCTTGATTTTCTCCTTCCAGTGCCATGGCTCTCCCTATAGGCTACATGAAGCTCAGTTCATTGATGGGTTCCCTGGTCACTGAGGGGCCCAGGAGACAGAGAAGAGAGCCGGG